AAAAATTCTCTGGATCCGCGACTGTGCACTTACCAAATTTGCAAGTAACTGATTAACAATAACATGTCAGATGTAAATTAAAATTATCCTTGATAAAAACAGTAAGATGTTTCAGAAATAACAAATAAACCCATCAAATATTCTTTTCAAAGCATACACAATATTTATCAAGATTTTTATGTAATAAAGTAGACTTTGCATGGTCGCTTAGAATTAGAATGATGACAAATGATAATGATAATATAGGATTCTCGAAAATTCTTCACTTATTGAAATGCTAAACAGGATGTCTGATCATTTGAGTTCAAAAGAAAGTCCATAAAGGTGTGTAAATATCAATAAAATATTGTAAATATGATCAACATTTTTACAATTTTACCTCTATATGATCCCATTTGCTGTAGTTTACACAGGACATTGTGTATTTGCACTTGTAGCAAAACGCAGTTACAGATCAAGAACAGGAAGTGCTGAATGAAAACAAGGGAGGCAACTCTTATGTACTCTTCGCCAAGAGGTAACTGAGGGGTTATGGCACATACAAATCGTGAAACACAAATAAAAAAAACAACGATTTAATTTATGTTAATAATATTCATTTAATAAATAAGTCATTATATAAATGGCATCCACATCAAACTGTTTTTCAAAAAAAAGGAAATTTTATTAAGTAGTGATTCCGACTGTTCCGACTCATCTTTCATAGATCCTTCACATATTACCATGAAAGATGAGTCGGAATCATACGAATGATAATACTCCTTAATAAAAAAAAATATCAATGGATGAGTATTTTGTATTAACGGACTCAAAGTTTAAAAAAGTATATAGATCTATATAGGTTATCAAAAAATTAAGATTCACTCAAATCTGCTTCAGTCGATATTGTAACATTTCATTTACATTTATTTACATTTACATTGGATACGTCGTGGTTACCAATAATGGTGTGACACGACGGGAGAGAGAGAATATATTACTTATCTTGGGTGTTTTTTGAAAGGGCTGATCTAAATCCCTCTACGCTTTCTGCGCACACTACTATATCATCCAGATGGTTCCACTCAAGCGGTGTGCTTCCTGTTTGTATCCTGGGATGTTTAATGGCCTTGAGTTGTTGACGTTCCTGTTTAATGTTGCTGATGTTTCATAGTTCTCATAACGCTTTATGTTTGTTTTTCATGTCCTTCCAGAGTGCTGGATTATCTGATCTGGGGGTAGGGCTGGTATTAACCCCTCAACTACTTTGTACATAAATACTAGTCGCTGTGATTTCCTACTGTTTTGTAGGGTTGGCAGTTTTAGGTGTTGTAGCATTTCTGTGACACATCCTTCATCCCGACTTTTGTAATTTCCAGTAATTAGGCGAGCTGCTCTTCTTTGTATTCTCTCTAGTTTTTCAATGTCTGATTTTAGATGAGGGTCCCGAATAATACTGCCATAGTCCAGAATTGATCTAACAAGTGATATATATGCTGTTTTCTTACACTCTTTTGGGCAGTGTTTTAAATTTCTTCTCAAAAAGCCTAAAGTTGAGCTCGCTTTTCTCGCGATGTTGCTTATATGAGTACTCCATTTGAGGTCGTTTGATATCTGGAGTCCTAGGTATGGATTGTTTTGTACCTCTTCCAAAATGTGGTTATTCAGACTGTAGAATTTTAATGACTTTTTCTTAATTGACATGATGTAGCATTTTTTGGCATAAAATTTCATACCCCATTAATCTGCCCATTCTTCAAGGTTTTGTATGTCATTTTGGAGGATGTTATGGTCATTGAATGTTTTGATTTGTCGATACAAAAGGCAGTCGTTGGCGAAAAGGCGTACTTGTGGTTTGACTGAGTCTGGTAGGTCATTTATGTGGTAGAGGAAAAGGAGTGGTCCTAGTACCGTCCCTTGGGGTACTCCGGAGGCGACGTGTTCCTCCTGGGACGTTGTGCCTTCAAGTACAACCTTCATTTTCCTCTGTGTTAGGAATGACATCAGCCAGTTGTGCACTTGTCCTCGCACGCCGTACTTTGCGATTTTATGCAAGAGTTTCTTGTGTGGCACGGTGCCAAATGCTTTGGAGAAGTCTAGTATTGCTACATCCAACTGGTTCCCATTGTCGTGCGCTTTTAAAAAGTCATTTATAGTCAAGAGTAATTGTGTCTCACAGGAATAACCAGATCTGAAGCCGTGATTTAGATTGGTTTTCAAGATGTTTTAGCATGTGTCGACAGATGATGTGTTCCAGAAGTTTGCAGTAGGACTGATGTTAATGACACTGGGCGATAGTTTTCCGCAGAGTGTTTGTCTCCCTTTTTAAATATGCATGAGATGTTGGCATTTCTCCAGTCTGCTGGAAGTTCTCCCGAGTCGAGTGATTTTTGAAATATTTTTGTGAGTCCTAATGATATTTCTGTCGCGCATTCTTTGAGGATTCTGTTTGGTATTCCATCTGGACCTGAAGCTTTTGATGTTTAAGTTCCCGAGTAGTTTTGCAACACCGTTTGTATCTATGTATAGTTTCGGAATTGTTTCCTGTACACGTTTTGTTGTTTCTGGTATGTTGGTGTCTTTGTCGATGGTGAATACCGATTTAAATTGTTGAACTAATATATCCACCTTTGACTGACTGTCACTGATGAGAGTACCTTTGCTTTTTAGGGGGGCTACTCCTATTGAGTCTTGCTTTTTTATTTGATATATTTCCAAAACGGTTTGTTGTTGTTATTTTCGAAACCTTTTAGAGTGTTGGTGTTAATGTAATCCCATTCTGCTCTCCTGAGGTTTCTTTTGCATTCCCTTTGATGGTGTCTATAATTCTTCCAATCATTAGTTCTTTTGGCCTGTTGGTAAAGCTTTTCTTTTTTCCTAATCATTTTCCGCTCTCTAGATTTCATCCATGGTAGTTTGTTTCGTGTTCGTGCACCTTTTGATGGTATGTGGGTGTCCATTGCATTGCGCAGGTCCTATTTAAATGTTCTCCAGAGATCATTGACATTTGCATCATTTTGGTAGTCGTGATCTAATTTATTCGATGTTTTGGTGATATCTTCTTTTAGTTTATCCCAAGATCCACGTGAATATTGATAGAACTTCCTTGCTGGTGAGGAATTGTAGTGAGGTTTTGTTTGAATGTCCGTAACTACCATTTCGTGGTCTGATATTCCTGGTATACTGTATGAGCTCTTGGCAAGGCTTGGGTTTGTAGTAAATATGAGGTATAGCATTTTGTTTTCACGTGTTGGTTGGTCATGTATTTGTGTCAGATGTGCTCCTGTTGTTATTTTGATAAGTAGGTTTTGTGTTTCTTTATCCTGTCCACCCTGGTTTACAGTCATGTTGTTCCAGCAAATGTCAGGGCAGTTGAAATTGAAATCCCCAGCCAATATTAAAATTTTGCTGTTTGAGTCCAAAATCTTTGTCAGTCCTCTATCCAGTTCCATTAAGTCTATGTTGTTTCTATGCGGCATGTAAAAGGAACCTATAATGAGGTCCTTGTTTCCCCGGAGCTTGATTTTCACCCGTTCTACTTCACAGTCCGTAACATATTCTGGCTTTTCAACTGATGTTATGGATTTTTTCACTAGAATGAATACACCTCCTCCTAGAGTTCCTCTGTCATTTCTGTATACTTCATATTCGGGTGGAAATATTTCGCTAGATTTAACAGCGTCTTTTGTTGGATTGAATCCTGGTTTAATTCCTTTCAGCCATGATTCTGTCCCACATGTCTGGTTTGATGTATTCCAGTGCAGCTTCCAGTTCTTGTTTTTTATCTGTAATGCTTCGACAATTTACAGTGAGGATTCTGAGGTTATCTTTTTCAGGCAGGTGGAAGATTGAACTTTCATTATTACTTACAAATGTTGGTGTTCCTGATGAGTTCACACTGCTGTTATTTGTTATCCGTTTTGGGCTACTCGTTTTTAGTGGGCTAAATGCACATGCAGATGATACACTCTCTAATGTTGTGTTTAGTTCTGATAGTGGTTCGTAGTATTTGGTACTATTTAGTTCATAACTGTGAAAAGTGAATGAGGTTACATTCAGGCTGTCGCATTTGCAGCAGTACCACTCAACAGGTGATTATTCAGTTTGCTGTACCTGTGTAACACACAGCTACTGATCAGCACAACAGGTGACAATTCAGTCTGATAAACCTGTGTAATACGCGGCTACTGATCACCTCATCAGGTGACAATTCCATCTGATGTACCTGTGTAATACACAACTTCTAACCACTTCAACAGGTGAACGTTCAAGATTGATGTACCTGTGTAATACACGGCCACTGACCATCCCATCAGGTGACCATTCAGTCGGATGTCTCGTGAAATACACGGCTTCTGACCACCTAATCAGGTGACTATAAATTTGATGCACCTCTTAATACACATCTACTGACCACCTTAACAGGTGAGCATTCAGTCTGACGAACCTATGTTAAACACGGCTACTGACCACCTGATCATGTGACCGTTCAGTCTGACGAACCTGTGTAATACACAGCTACAGATGACCACCTCAACAGGTGAACGTTCAGATTGATGTACCTGTGTAATGCACGGCTACTGATGACCACCTCAACAGGTGATCATTCAGTTTGATGTACCTGTGTAACACACAACTACTGATCAGCACAACAGGTGACAATTCAGTCTGATAAACCTGTGTAATACACAACTTCTAACCACTTCAACGGGTGAACGTTCAGATTGATGTCCCGTGCAATACACGGCTTCTGACCACCTAATCAGGTGAGCATTCAGTCTGACGAACCTATGTTATACACGGCTACTGACCACCTCATCATGTGAACGTTCAAGATTGATTTACCTGTGTAATACACGGCTACTGACCATCCCATCAGGTGACCATTCAGTCTGATGTCGCGTGAATTACACGGCTTCTGACCACCTGATCAGGTGACTGTAAGTCTGATGAACGTCAACCTGTGTAATGCACGGCTTCTGACCATCTGATTAGGTGACTATAAGTATGATATACCTGTGTAATACACGGCTACTGACAACCTGATCATGTGACCGTTCAGTCTGACGAACCTGTGTAATACACAGCTACAGATGACCACCTCTACAGGTGAACGTTCAGTTTGATGTACCTGTGTAACACACGTCTACTGACCAGTACAACAGGTGACAATTCAATCTGATGCACCTTTGAAATACACATCTATTGATCACCTCATCATGTAATACACGGCTACTGACCACCTCAACAGGTGCGCATTCAGTTTGACGTATCTCTTCATGTGACTGTTCAGGCTGACTAACCTGTGTAATACACGGCTACTGAGCACCTCAACAAGTGAGCATTCAGTCTGGCGAACCCGTGCAATACACGGCTACTGACCACCACATCATGTGACTGTTCAGTCTGATATACCTGTGTAATAAACGGCTACTGAGCACCTCGACAAGGGAGCATTCAGTCTGGCGAACCCTTGCAATACACGGCTACTGACCTCCTCATCATGTGACTGTTCAGGCTGCC